ATGGATTTTAAAGGGGTCATATGATGCTTTTTTAAAGATCATTATTTTGTGTATTTGGTGTAACAGAATATGTTGACATGCTTTAATGTTCAAAAAACACATTATTTTTCAAAACAGTGATGAAGCTGGTATGTGTTTGCAGTACACAAGCCACGGTTAAGACAGCTGACTCCACTGTGATGTGACCCTGTCTCTCTCTCTCTCTCTCACACACACACACGATGCGCAAAACTCCGCATTACCTCCTCTCCTAGGTTCACGAAACGGTCGTCCATAAAATGCATTGCTGTTCTGTTGTAAGTGATCCAAATAAAGTGCTTTTGCTTTCGCACTGAAACACACAGCGTCTCCCTGACATGGCTGCTTCAACACTAACTGCGGTTACTGAAACCACGCGTTCTTTCTTTGCGTGAACATTTGGGCGGCGTTATGCAAATCTTCCCAGATAGTGAGGTAGACATGTGGGGGCGTGTTAGAATGAGCCGTTTTAGGGGGGCGTGGCAGAGTCTTAACTTTGATAAAGAATATCTCTTTGGTTTTGAGACTTTAGTCTTTGCAACTTCAGGGATCTTATCTATGCACAATCAGCTTGTAACACTCCAAAGAGAAAGGAAAACTTGAAATCGCATCATATGACCCCTTTAAATCTCAAAAAAAGCATCCTTTCTGATTATGGCTGGACTTTAACACAATAATGGACTACTGTACGTAGTCAACCAAAATGCTTACTACCCCCGTGTGTACCAAATCCAGGCACATGTGAAACTAGTTTACAAAATCACCACTAGGTGGCGCAAAGGGACGGTTGACACCATTGCTCAATAAAGCTGGAATTGTGACATTTTCACTTGTAAATAAAGATAAAAATAATGAAATAAATCAGTGGTAATAATGGAATAATAGGCTAATAAAGCATTATGACATTTAATCTCGAATTATTCATCATATAAATGTTTATTGTTCCAGCTGTTTGACCAGTTATGGTGAAATAATACAATGACAGCAGTACAGCTTGAAGTGTACTTACTTTTTACTGTACAGTACCAGCCAGTATTTTAGATTACTTCTTTGAATGTTTAGATTACATTAAAAGAGGTGACCATTATGCCATAAAAAAATAAAACGATATAAAAGGTGGATTATTGTTGCTAAGAGGATTATGAGTGATGTAGGCCTAGTTCTAACACATATTTTGGCATCGTCACATTATTGTCACAAATGAAAGTTTTGAAACTTACTTTTAATAATTCACTGACACATTTCAGCAGGTCACGCATACTTATGCATATTCATTATCTGTCCTTTTTTGACACATCAATTCCCGCAAACAGAGCCCTGCTCATGACATGCCAAAAATCATAATCTCAATGAATTAAGAAATTGTTGATCGCTTTTTATTAAATTTTTCCTCTGTATAAATTAAAACATGTTTAAATAATAATTTAATCATGTTTTAACTAACAATAATAATAAAATGCCTAATACATACCTTTTACTCATTTATTAATTTTTTAGGATATTCACAATTTAACTAAAATGATGGGGAAAAAAACAGTTTTTGGCTGGGTTTAAGTTGTTGTTTACATATAAAAAGGCTTACCCTGCATTATTGCTGACTGCAGTCAGGCTCTTAACTCCTGTCTTCAGCAAACTGTTAATCAGATTTTCTGGAATACCACACAGGCCAAAACCTGTGAATGAGAGGAAAGGATATTATAGAAATTACAAAATGGTTGACATCAGCTATTTATCAAGGAGATGTAAATAATGCTGTTGTAATATAATATAATATAATATAATATAATATATACAATAATAATAATAATAATAATATGTCATTTAAAAATTCAGTACAAGTTTTTGAAATAAATTAATATATTTGTTCAGCAAGGACAACTTAAATTGATTAAAAGTGACTATAAATGTATTACAATGTAAATAAATACAATTCAAATATAGGCTAAAGAATACCGCTTTAATAAGAAGAAGAATAAAGAGAAGAAATGCTTCTTAAACACCAAATCAGTATAACAGAATGATTTCTGAAGGATCATGTGACACTGAAGACTGGAGTAATGGATTACCTGCTGAATTATTTTTGATCAAATAAACACAGCCTTGCACAAGAGACTACTTTTAAAAACATTACAAAAAATATATTACTGACCCCAAACCTTGTGAATGGTACTCTAAGTAATAAGCAGACAGTTACTGATAAAGGATGAGTTGATGATAAATCATAACTCTCTTACCTCCCACAAGAATAGTCGCTCCATTAGGAATATCCTTAACTGCATCAAGGGGGTCTGAATAAAATCGCCCGGACCGTTGTCTTGAAGTGGAAAAATAACAGCCACACGTCTGCCAACAACAGACATTTAGCAGAATGAATGAAGCAGGCTGAACATACAAAAACACTACAGGCAACAACTTCAAAGCATTAATGAATGACACTTCAGTCAGTGAATCTGTACTACAATGGAAATCCTTTAAGCTTCCTTTCAATCTCCTTTTCCATTGAATAAAATCAAGTGTTTGTGCAATTCCATATAAGTAGTGATTTGAGGAATACAGCCTAGTGCAATACAAACACTATAAAGATCCGTGGTTGACTTTTCCATTCATGAGTACTGCGCCTCTCACGATGTTAACCATATACAATGGAATCCTAAGTCATGCATAGAAAATAAACATCAAATAAGATCTATTTGTCAGTCAACTACAGTTTGAACATTTCCCCATGCTGACATGCACGTGCTAAACAAACCCCGGGAGTCCAGCCAAGATGTCCATTTCATTTATATCCTTATTTGTTGACACAACAGTGCGTGTTTGACCTCACAAATGCTCCAGCTGAACACTTATTACTCGGCCTCAATAAATAACTCATTTGCTTCGGTTTTGTATATATGGCAGCCTTAAGCAGTATTACCAAATAATAATAGACAAAAATACTGAGTTATAGTAGTGATCCAAAGACCATAATATCTCACTCAACAACGAAACCACGTATGACCATTACCACCGTTATTCCTTGAAACAATCATTCAAAGGTTTCTGCTCTGACTGTATACAGAACAACTCCATGAACCTCAGAGGCACATGACACTAGCATGAGACTGTGTCATAACTATATGACTTCAAAACCCAGGCTTAGCAGTCTGGGTCTGGAGAATTCCTCTCCTTGTTCTGAGAACTAGTTATTATAGCAGTCTAATTCACATGTTGTGTGATATAAAAAGCCAAAACTGGTGGGTGGAACAAAAGGGGAGGCATGTGAGTAGGAGAGAGCAGAGTTGGGTTACTGTTAATCAAGGAATAATGTTGGCAGTGCTGTCAAGTTAGTTGTCCTAATTTTAAAAACTAGCATTTTCATGGAAGTTATTGATAAAATCTGTGATTTATGCCTCATGACAGTAATGCTTAGTGACCATGTGTTTCCAGGTCAACAATAAAACAAATACATGAAAACATGAATGATTGGTTGTTACTCTGAAAATCAAGGACAAATGCATGCTGATGGTCTTTAAATGGTTTGCTAAGAAAACACAATGCAGCACAAAATGACTAGTTTCACTAGTCTCTGTCTGAGATAGATGCAATTACACAAGCTTTTGACTTCAAGTAAATATATAAGCGTTGCAACACATCATTCTTTTAAACTCATACACACACATCATATGCACCAGAGCACCAGAGCGGCCAGACACAGGAACAGTTTCTTCCCTCAGGCAATCCATCTCATGAACACTTGACAATAACTGTGGAACACACACTATTTATTCACTCATACACTTATTTATCTAACACACATACTCAGTCTACATTTCAATTTGCACATAATATACATGTACATACAACTGTCTATTGTTATATACCTGTACATACAATTGTCGATTTGTATATTTTTTATTCCTTATTTCACTTGTTCTATTTTTATTTTATTTTTTTTTTCTTATTATCTGTGTCCTCGTATGTGTAAACATACCAGGCAATAAAGCTCATTCTGATTCTGATTCTGATCATATATAGCATTCTAATAAGATCTGCACGTCTATCTTATCTATGCAATGGAAAGTGGGGTTCAAAAAGAGGCAAAAACAGAAGCACCGACACGTTCAACATCGTGCAAAATTTCAGATGCACCGTCTTTTGTTTGTAAACACTGACCTTGCCAACGGAGAATCGCGAGATGTTCGTCTTGATCGTCGCTGTCACGTTCCTGATGATCACATTTTCCACTCTAGATAGCGCTTTAAGAGTCGCCATGTCTGCAAATTACAGGTCTAATATTGTGTGTAGTGAATGATGGTGACAGTATGCCCTCGTTGATCTCTCAGATAGGCGGGGATGAAGTAATAGAATGACTGTTGGGGTTATATTATATTATATTATATTATATTATATTAATTATATTATATAAGAAATCACTAGATGGTATAGTGAGAGGTAATGCAGCCTTGATCCAGCTCATTAAAACATTTAGAACCTAAACATTTTTTTATTACTTACACTAAAAAACAAAAATTAATGTACATTGTTTGGCTATTTTTTAAATGATATTTAATATGTGTGTCGTATTTGTGCTCAATATCATATAAAGTGAGCCTACTTGTGCTTTTTAAAAATGTTTTTTAAGGTTTTTTATTTAAACAAATCTTTTCTATATAACAGAACAACAATAACAACAGCCAGGGAAAAATATTATTATTTACAAATAAATAAATAAATTAATTAATTAATAAATAAAATGCAAATACAACTAATAAAAATACATAAATAAAACCCATAATAAAAGTAATTATCAAAAGAAAAATTACATAAAAAGTAACAGAAAAAAATACTAATCGGTATAATTTTGAAATAGGCACAAGCACAACATGACACCACGTGATGGCATAATTACGTCATAACCTAAAATAATTGATGAATCTTTCTTTGAAGTGACTCTATAAAAAAACTGTTTGAAAGAATCGATTCGCGGAAATGAGTCGGACTCCCATTCATCACTTCTGCCAATATTTCAATCCACTGTTCTCAAGCACAGAGTAATATGGGGATAATTTGGATAAGGGTGGACAAAGTAAGCTCTTACTTTGATGTAAGTGCCAGGCGTGAAGTTTATGAATGAAATGAAAGAACAAAACATCCCTGTATTCCTCGCACGTGAGTAATCGCGCGCTCGTCACGTGACTGTCGTTTGCAGTCATGGCCGACGACTACAGACGAAGCGTCGAGCTGGAGAGGAGGATTTTTGAGTTAGATAACAAGTGTGCCACTCTTCGGACGGAGAAACCAGGTAACCGGGAATCATGTCGTCAGTTGCGCAATACCAGCCTCCCGTTATTTTAGAAAATGCATGTTCAGTGGCAGAATCAGCCCGGTGTTATCATCGTTAGCTGGTTAGCTTAGCTGCGTTAGCATTCCTACGAATCACAACAAACATTTTCCTGCCCATCTATCACCCCGTTTATACGACATATGTTTGACTAACTAGTTCATACGAACACCGTAGTACTTATACTAAACTGCAAGCTAATGTAAAAGGTAAAGCACGATTATTATGTTCTGTAATTTTTCACATTTGTGGCTAGCTAGTAGCTAGTAAGATCCAGTTTGCATAAACTGAGTGAAGTCGCATGTGGTCATGCTATGATACCGAACGCGATGCACAAATAATATAAAACATAACATACGTCGTTATAGTTATTCTGCAATCTGATATTACAACCTCACATTTATATTCTAATATGAGAGATAAATAGGAATTTAATGGCCTGTCAAACTCTTTTAGCAGAATTATTCAATAAGTATTTTGCCTACTTCAGTCAGACAAAAGGTTACGTTAATATAAAACTAGCCACATATGCATGATCAAATGATCACATTTCTGTGTTATTTATTTATTTGTAGATGCAGATTTTTGGGGTCCTGTAAATCATACTTTGTGTACACACATACTAATGCATTCTTGTTTTCAAATGCTTCAATTGAATGATTCTCAGCAGGGAGAGTGTAATCAGAATAAAACAGAGGACATACACGATGGTTTTAAAACAAGCTCTTTTCAGACAGTGCAATGTTGATTTTACAGAGCTAGTTTCTTAGTCGTCCTGATATTGAATGTTTTGCGATTTGTTTTATACCAAAAGCTGTGCTTTAGGTTGTAGATTTACATTCATTAAAGTTGCTAAATAAGTGTAATATTTTCTATTTATATATTTTTTTTTTTAAAGCTTAAATCCAGAAAGTCATTTAGGGCCAATATTTTGCTGGAACAATAGCCTATATAACCTCAGCTGTTTTTCTTAGACCACCAACTGTAAACTCTCATGTTGTATATCCTCTATTAGGTGTTAAATATTAACATTGTTGTTGTTTTTTATTCCTAGATGATGACTACTTACAGAATGCATCTTCCATACTAGACAAGTTGAAAACCCATTATAGACATGGAGGAGAGAGCAGCAGCCTCCCTAAACTGCTGCAGGATTATACACAGGTACTTCACATAACACGGGTCTCACCCTGCAACATTCCCTTAAGCATAGCATAACTATATATTAACAAACACTCGACTGACGTTATGAAGTGAGTTTGGAGTAAAAATATGTTATTAAATGTGGTATTTTCACATGCTTTCAGATGGAGCAGCATTATCTTCACAGAGCCGTAGTTCACTGAGAAGCTATGCAAACAGCTGTCATTATCGCAAACGATTTCTTCGATTTCATAATCGCGCAATAAAATGGTCTGCAATTTTTTTTTTTTTGCGTATTTTGTCAGTGAACTACAGCTATGTGTAGTAAATTCTGCTCCATCTGAAAGCACGTGATGATGATTTCCTGCTGATTACAGAACCGGCTTTTTTAACAAAATGCGCATATGACAATCGTATTTAATTAATCGTGCAGCCCTAATTGAAAACTTCTGTGAGATGCTACATCCACGCCACTAGGAGTCAGTATCAGTTCAAGACAACTTCAATATTAGCCAATGCAGCCAAGAAAGTTTATTCCTGAGTCCAATATGCCTGCTTCCCTATTACATAGTAGATAAAAAACAGTATGTGAACAGAGTAGTACATCTGAATTTATATTTTCATTAAATAGCAGGCAAAAAACACTCGAATTACCTACTACATCCAGAGAGATTCTGAAGTGTGCATATGATGGACACTTTACTATCCCATGAAGCCACGGCAATGATGTTATGCAACTGATGCTGTAGGTCACATGACGATGACAACAAGGCGAATGAAGTACATCCAGAATAAATTCATTCTACACATTCATCCTATATAGAACATACTTTTTAACAGTCATGAATTCCGTTCTTCATCAAATGCAGTAGCTACTTAGTTTGTGATTTTAGACGCAACGTTCGTTCCTTAACAAATGTAGTAGGCCTACCTACTCTAATAGTATTGGAATTCGGACGCACCTTATAATAGGCTATGTGGAGAAATTTATTAGCATTAGCATTTAACATTAGGAGCCACAATAATGTTAACAGTTTCTCACTCTTCACTAGCGACTATCCTGAAAGTAAAATAAAAAGTGAAAGTAAAAATAAAAAAAAAATACAGAGTGCACCTTCAAAACTTTAAGACTATTACAGAACCGGCATTACTATCAAGATGCACATGACAATTGCATTTGATTAATCGTGCAGCCCTACTAGGTACTCAAGATTAATATGAGATTTGGTGAAATTGTGTGTGTTAGGTCCCCTTTAACTAATTTCTGTAAAAAATTGGTTTAAAAAGAGAAGCTATGCAAACAGCTGTCATTATCGCAAACTATTTCTTCGATTTCATAATCGCGCAATAAAATGGTCTGCAATTTTTTTTTTTTTGCGTATTTTGTCAGTGAACTACAGCTATGTGTAGTAAATTCTGCTCCATCTGAAAGCACGTGATGATGATTTCCTGCTGATTACAGAACCGGCATTACTATCAAAATGCGCATGACAATCGCATTCGATTAATCGTGCAGCCCTATGGCCTAATGCAATTAATAAACTTTGAAAAACCTTTGAATTAAATGAATGAGAGCACTGGACGTTCAAAGTCAAAATATAGCACTGTTGCACGTTCTACAGGCTCGCGGTTTCAGAGCAGTGCAAAATGAACACTACACATTTATGCCAAGTGATCGCTCATTATTATTGGTTTTTAATATTGTTGTAGGTGGTTATAAGAGTGTATATTTTCTCATCTTTTTAAATTAGCCATTGTAAGTATTAAAGTGCAGACATTTCAAATCAAGAGTCACAATGTTTTCGTGCTTATTTATAATTAAAATTCCCACATTATGCCGTTTTTTCTGGATATTATTGGTATTTTGGTTACACAATAAAATACATCTGGCATTTAATTTCACCCTCTTACAGAAAGGAAAGACTAAGAACATTATTTAACACATTCAATATGTACATTTTATTATTATCGACACGATAATCTTTTTAGTGGCTTTTCTTTAAACATATTATATCAGCAAATTCCAATATTGATCAAAACCTAATTCATATGTTATTATATATTATTACATAAGCCAATTTCAATACATATGTATATATTGAATAAAACATGTCTTTTTAAATGTCCAGCTATCATGTTTTTCCGGTGAATGTGTGCCCAGCCTGTTCAACTGAGTAAAAGAATGCAATATATGATTTATATTGTATGGGTGTATTGTAGGGCTACACGATAAATCGCATGCGATATTTAACGCGCATCTTATCAGTAAAGCCGGTTCTGTAATCAGCGGTAAATCTCCATCACGTGCGTGCTTTCACATTGAGCAGCATTAACTACACAGAGCCGTTGTTCACTGACGAGCTGCGCAAAACCAAGTTCATATTCGCACGATTTTTTGCGCAGCTCGTCAGTGAACAACGGCTCTGTGTAGTTAATGCTGCTCAATGTGAAAGCACGCACGTGATGGAGATTTACCGCTGAGAACCGGCTTTCTGACTAGATGAGCATTAAATATCGCATGCGATTTATCGTGTAGCCCTACAATACACCCATACAATATAAATCATATATTGCATTCTTTTACTCAGTTGAACAGGCTGGGCACACATTCACCGGAAAAACATGATAGCTGGACATTTAAAAAGACATGTTTTATTCAATATATACATATGTATTGAAATTGGCTTATGTAATAATATATAATAACATATGAATTAGGTTTTGATCAATATTGGAATTTGCTGATATAATATGTTTAAAGAAAAGCCACTAAAAAGATTATCGTGTCGATAATAATAAAATGTACATATTGAATGTGTTAAATAATGTTCTTAGTCTTTCCTTTCTGTAAGAGGGTGAAATTAAATGCCAGATGTATTTTATTGTGTAACCAAAATACCAATAATATCCAGAAAAAACGGCATAATGTGGGAATTTTAATTATAAATAAGCACGAAAACATTGTGACTCTTGATTTGAAATGTCTGCACTTTAATACTTACAATGGCTAATTTAAAAAGATGAGAAAATATACACTCTTATAACCACCTACAACAATATTAAAAACCAATAATAATGAGCGATCACTTGGCATAAATGTGTAGTGTTCATTTTGCACTGCTCTGAAACCGCGAGCCTGTAGAACGTGCAACAGTGCTATATTTTGACTTTGAACGTCCAGTGCTCTCATTCATTTAATTCAAAGGTTTTTCAAAGTTTATTAATTGCATTAGGCCATAGGGCTGCACGATTAATCGAATGCGATTGTCATGCGCATTTTGATAGTAATGCCGGTTCTGTAATCAGCAGGAAATCATCATCACGTGCTTTCAGATGGAGCAGAATTTACTACACATAGCTGTAGTTCACTGACAAAATACGCAAAAAAAAAAAAATTGCAGACCATTTTATTGCGCGATTATGAAATCGAAGAAATCGTTTGCGATAATGACAGCTGTTTGCATAGCTTCTCTTTTTAAACCAATTTTTTACAGAAATTAGTTAAAGGGGACCTAACACACACAATTTCACCAAATCTCATATTAATCTTGAGTACCTAGTAGGGCTGCACGATTAATCAAATGCAATTGTCATGTGCATCTTGATAGTAATGCCGGTTCTGTAATCAGCAGGAAATCATCATCACGTGCTTTCAGATGGAGCAGAATTTATTACACATAGC